ACACTAGTCTTTTTTTTCTCACGAGTTCAAAATACTGATTTCATGTACATGTATCTATGGCTGGGTTTCATGATAAAAAGAACTTTGCTACTCCGTATTTTCGAAAATTACTGCTTTCAAACTCAAGTGGAAGCAAAGTTAAGAGGAAATTGGATATCCTGCATGATGCTTTCTGCCTTGCAATTTTTTTTATTTCATTCAAGCCTTACAGATATCGCGACAACTTTATAGTTAACTATTTCCTTCAAAAAAGTACCTTTTTTCCAATAACCTGCATGCATTTCAAGATCTGACTAAAAGTTTTGGAAAATGAAAGATAAAGTAATGGACTAATTTGATTTTAAAACTAAAGTGGAAAAAGTAGTATTTTTTATATTATTTTTATATTTTTTTCATTCTCTTCTTCATTTTGTAAGTAACGATTGTGAAATAAAGACAGTTGGAAAAACTTTACAAAGTGAAATTTGGAATTCAGCTTTGAGTAACCAACAGTCGGTGGAGTTCAAAACATTGCAGGCAAATTTGTCGTCAGAAGTAAGTATTTTTTATTGTTACCGGTTTTATTTTTGTCAGACAAGGGGAATTGGCAAATTTTTGATGTTTGAGCAAATACCCTGCAATTTTTCGTCCAGTACTGCTTGGGCTAACTTAGCCTGTTTTTAATTCTTTTATTGGGATGGCTGCCGAATGCAAAAATTTTTAAATATAAATAGAGAAATTGCTTTTAATCGCTCTGCATCCAGCAGTTTTCCTAAACTATAAGTCAAATCGGGGAGTGCGAAACAATAAAAAAATGCGTGTGCATTTTTGTAGCCTTTTTTATTTTCTTTATTTCAGGGGATTTTATCGATAAGAATATTCGTAACCATCGTTTACATGCAATAAAAATTTGCATACGAGGCGGGGCGGTAAATTGAAATACTTTGTTCAGTTATTACGCAGTAAGGCTTTGTCTTTGTGGCGGTATGAGGACACGAGCTCATTACGTCTATTGAGTGATGATAATTCCAGTGGGCAGATGATGAGTAGTTTTTTTTTTAGGCAGAGGGTGCATCTTTTACTTGCGCTATTGTTCTTGATGCAAGGATGCACCATGAAATAAAGGGGTCAACGTTATTTTCTTTCAGAATGTTTGCTGAGTTCAGTAGAGTTTCTATGTAGATATATAAGATGTAATCAGTAATCTACCAAGCCACGGTCACACGTAAGGACAACAGCACCACTGAAACATACATCAGACTCACAGAAAACGAATTTAAAACTAGATACAGAAACCACATCGCATTATTCCGACACCGAAAACGCAGAAGCTCTACCGAACTCAGCAAACGCATCTGGATTCTTAAAGAAAATAACATTGACCATTTTGTTTCATGGCGCATCCTTTCATCAAGATCACCCCACAACAGCGCAAGCAAAAGCTGCAGCCTTTACCTTTATCAGTACATTACTCATCATCTGCCCACTTGAATTATCATCACTCATTTTTGTTCGATTTAAATTAAAATAACTCTTTCTTGTGTTTAAGGTTTCTAAGGTTTATGCCAAAAATCCAGCAAAACAACTGTACTCAGTGGGTCTTGTTTATTTCAGGTAAATGTCAATTTTAGAGTGCTCAGTGTAAACATATTTCAACAACTTTTTTCTTTAAGAGGGAAGATGAATTTAGGTAGCATCACATACTCTTGAGCTAGTTCAGGAATTACTTTCAGTTTACTGTTCACAGTGCATTGATGTGTATAAAAACATTTTGAGACTTGATAATGTTAAGTTTTAAGAAACTGAAGTTCGGTGGAATGACGTCATGCAAGAAATGACGTCAACCATTTGTCAATGTGCAAACAGCGTTGATCTGCAATTTTCTTGTTTACTAGTAGATTTGGTAGTGTTGTTGCTACAGTAAAGATGGAGTTTGGAAAATCTGTCACTGACCCTTTGAAACCAATGGAAGATGAAATCAAATTAAAGATGGGAAGCTTGGGGCATTCACAGTTCGCCGTGAACTTGCATTGAGTCCAAGTAAGGCCTGGTGTACTTAACAAGTAGATTCCATTTTGCCATATGTATGGAAGGTTTCAAACGTTCTCTGTTTAAACCTGTACTGTTTGAAGACTAGCTCTTGTTAAATTAAAGTTACAGTACTTTACTTCTCATGCGCAAGAGAGCTCCTTTCTTTATCCTAGCTCTGAATTGGAAAACTTTGTGACAAGTGTTGTTTAGAAGAAATGGTTTTTCTTATTTAAAAAATCAGCCGTGTGTCTGTACTGTGTGACAAGTGTTGTTTAGAAGAAATGGTTTTTCTTATTTAAAAAATCAGCCGTGTGCCTGTACTGTGTGACAAGTGTTGTTTAGAAGAAATGGTTTTTCTTATTTAAAAAATCAGCCGTGTGTCTGTACTGTGTGACAAGTGTTG